ATTAAAACCGGGTGTCTGTTTCCAAAGCCTGGGATCTACAGTATTGTTACCACTGAATCAGAATAAAACTAACCTGATTGCCCGCTCCACGGACAGCAACTTTATTAGTGGTTGAGTCACAATCATCTGAAAATGCAGCTGCATGTCCAGGTTTCAATGGAGTGTTGTAAAGTTCCAGAATATCATCTGAGAAATGGAAATAAGCACAGAAAAATTAAAAGCAATCCTGATTAAGCACTTTTTGTTCAGTCCATTGCTACAGCAGGTAAAACCACTCAGTTTAATCCAGCTCATTCATATTCACAAAGTTTTTATATTTTTCCTTCAAGTAGAAGTTTTTGGTTACTGTAAGAGATGGCGTACTGACCTCACCATAAGGCCAATGGCAAAAGGCTAAGAAAAGGTCCCATACCTTGCACTATTATATCATCATCCACATAGATGGCCTTCTCTGCATGAGGTACCAAATTAGGCAAGTAGAATCTTGCAAAGGTTAACTGTGAAAACAAGAAAGCAAGAGAAGGGAAGAATTAAATGAAAAACTGTCCAAATAAATGTGAAATTGACTCATACTCCTGGCACTTACCTATGGCACTAATGTCCAAGACAACTTCTATCAAGGAAGTAAAATAGGCAGCGATATCCTAGAAGTTATTTCAAATAAACATGTTCCATGAATTCCTGATTTCCTATGAAGCTGTGCATTGATAAACTAACTTTAAAACTGGTCTGTATTAGAATTTCTTATTTCTCCACATATATCTGTAGTATCTCTGAGGTGTTGGCATGCTCGACATACAAGCTGCTGTGTTTCACTGTAGCTAGCAGCAAAAAATTATACTGGGCATGCATGTGTAGATATTCAAATCCATTTCTCACTATCTGGAAATTTATTCTTACTGAAATTTAGGAACTTCATTATAAAAAGATTGCTTCTATGCTAACAGATTTGGTTTTGATCTCTAGTTGTGTTCAAGAGCCAATATCAAAATATATTGTTACTAACTCATAATTGCAAAAAGTAATCAACATCATCCTCACTGGTTTTAAGGTGTCTGCCTTTTGAGGATCCACTTGTACTTTCCCTTCTAAGACACGAGGGTCAAAATCCAAAATTCGGTATCTCAAATTTTTCAGAGGAGTGTTACTTAGCCACAGCCTGCAAACAGGAGAAAGGCAAGGATTTTGTTAAATGAGACAAAATCAAATGAAAAGCAAGAGATCCAATTGACAGTGACAGAGATCTTGATAAAAATAAAAGGATCAAAGAACAATCTAGAAAAATGGAGAAACTGCATTTCCAGCATTTGTAGGGAAGTAACTTTTACAACCCCTCCACCAACAGACTCCAACCCCACTGGTTCGATATAACCCCACTGGAAAAGATGGCGCTTTTCCATCCCTGAAACATTACCAGAAGGGATGACTGTAGGACTCCCCACAGCAGCCTTGTCAAAAAACTGCAATAAGCAGCAGCAGATAGGACTGCAAATAATTGAGAGGAGTGCAGTTCCAGGGGAAGTCAGCTCCTCCTCTTCTCAGAGATACTTAAGATTTACAGTATTGTGGGAATCTAATGAAAAGACCATTACCTCAAGTGATCCACAGTATCATTCAAAGTAACAATATGGAAAACCACGTTGGATCTGGTGTGACGGTAAATACTGTTCATGGCTGTAATTGCACCCCCAAGTCTCTCATCTGATGCTGCAATGACCACAGAAATCTCCTTATCATTCCTTTCATCTGCCAGCCTCTGGGGAACTGCAGGTATGAAATCTATAGGCTGAAGTCCTAATGGATTTGAATCTGTGGAGTAGAAATGGCATCACCTGTAAAAGCTAGCAAATTGCCCACTACCCGCACTTTCTATAACACCACTGGTACCTTGCAGATGATCTAGACTATTACATATCAGATAATTTTAGGTAATTTGAGGAATGCAGCAAACAGGGACTCGGCAGCTTGTGGGCAATTCAATGTCTGCTCTTCAAAGCTGGGCTTCTGCTTCTGTTTGCCTTTTTCTGATGACAGAGCTCAACAGCTTTGACTTCAGCTGATTCTTGGTTAAGGCCTGCCAGGCTCCTATTCAGCTGCTGTTGGGAATCACCTGTACAATTGCTATCCAGGAGCAGCAGCTCCCAGGAGCAGCAAACTGAGACTTGGCAGTTAATGGGGACATGGAGAGGCTCTCTGGGACCATGTGCAGTTCTTAAAAATGGACTCCCAAAAATGAAAAGGCTTTGCTAAGTAAACTGAATCGTATCTTAACAACTTTTAAAGCCAGAAGGAGCCCTTACTGCTATCTCGCCTGCCTTTCTGACCGAGAAAACTCACAGGACAGCAAGAACAGACAAGCCCACCAAGCTGAAGTTTCTTGGGTATGAGAACAGGAAAAGATCTACTCATAGGAGAGTACAAAAATTATATCTTGTCATGCAAATGATTGATCATTATCATACATATTATTTCAGCAACATGGTGGTTTCTGTCTGGCCAGAGCATGTGCTTTCCCACCAATCTTAAAAAAACAAACAAACAAACAAAAAAAACCAAAAAACCAAAACCAACATACCTGACAATTCCCGTTTCAAGAAGTCACTGAGGCCTAGGAAGTTATGATGAAGAACTAGCAAAAATATGAAAACAGCCACTATAAGGATGGAAATGTTCACTGAAAATGTAAAAGAAAAAAGTTTATCAATATAACCAGATAAAGACTGAGAAACTCAGAAAAGTACAAAAGAGATTTTTAAAACATTAGACACACAGGTATACACATACCTTTCCTTAATGTCATTTTTCTCTTGTTATTTTATTTACTAGCATAAGTTTCCTGCAAACCTGCAAGAGAAAAAAATATGGCAGTCACTTCCTACTCCCAGTGCATGCCTACACAAGGCATAGCACACTGTCACCACAAGTGTCAAAACAGTTTCTGAACGCAGTGAATCTTCCCTTCTCTTAAAAAGATAAAACTGTATGTTACTTTTTAATAACTGAGTATGGTATCTCAGTAAGTATGTAGCTACAATGATGTATCTAAAGAACTCGGAGATGAAAAGGGAGACATAGAGATCTTGCCACTTACTTCACTGACAGAAAAAAAAGAAAAGCCAAACCCAAACTCCTTCTGCCAGTCAAAAGTAATCTGGAAACAATCTGGAAGATTATGTTTTGTTTTGGTTTTTTTACTGTTGAATCTATTTATTTATCTATCTGAACTGGAAGCATCCCAGCAATAAGGCAAATGATTACATGTTTCTTTCCATACTTAACTAACTGCAATATTTTGGCAGGACACAGGATTTATAAGATTTTAACAAATAGCGTTATACACTTCCAAAACCATGACATCCTCTGCATAAAATATAACAGAATATCAGCTGCAGTATCACCGCACAAAAAAGATCGCAGAAGTCCAAAAGCAGGTATTACCGTCATGTTAGAGAAGGGGATAAAAACACACGCTCAAAGCAATGATGCAATTTCGGTATGCAATTCGAACGCACGTATTCATTATTTAATGGTGCCAGTGATCGTGGAAGCAGAACAAGAACTGGGCACCCCGGAGTGTGAAGTTGCTCTCAAGTAACACACAGAAAGCACTCACACCATCACAAGAAGATTCAAGAAACACAGACAGTTCCATGTTAAAACACCTGCAAAATTCCCACACCGAGATACCCCAAACTGTTGTGACTATTAAGCGTGTCAGACAACCATCTGCTTCTTCCTGCTGTTGCGTCTCTCCCGCGGGGAAGATCCGTTTACCAAGCACGCCAGGGAAGCGCCGTGTGCCGTCCCCACCGCCCTGCCGAAGCCGGGCAGGACTCGCAGCCCTGGCTCACACGAGCACAAGGCGGCGCCTCGCTAACGAGGCAGGTCGCCGCGCTCCTCCGTCCCTGCGGCAGCGGTGCCGAGGCTGCACCCGCATGCACACGGCTGCCCTTCAGCGACGCTACAGCAGCCTGCGCTGAAAGCATTTACAGACTGGCTTCTCCAGAAAGGACTGCCGGTGCAAACACAAACCCACGCTGACAGACTCGAACACCTGCTCCTCGCTACGCTGCCGCAATTTCAGTTACTCCGCTGGAGCGGCTTACACGCAGTCAGCTGGGCACACGGCCGTTCCCCCCCGTTTCAGCGCATCCTCCGGGAGCTGCGTGGCCCAGCAGCAGGCGCCGCGCTCCCTCGGGCCGCCGCCTCGGCGGGGCTCCCGCGCAGGACGAC